CTCAAAAATCTCTTAGAGTGTGTTTGGTACTGCTGATTTGTTGCATATAAACAGCTTTTTACCACATTGTTTGAATCTTCCTGTTCGTTAATGCAGTAAGCAGGAGGACTTATTGAGATGTCACTAAGGAAGTCTACCAGAGAAAAATAAGCACATTGTTCATAACTTGTTCTCATTTATTAGTTCAGGTTTTTGTTACCTTAATATGTTAGGTTTCTTCATTTATACTTAGTATACCTAATTCTTGACAGTAAGCATCTTTTCCAAAGGCAAAAACAGATTTTTCGTCAGCAATACCAAACACCCATTTGTCATTAACCAAACTTAATTAATGAAGCCTTTTGTAACTTTTTGGTAATTTTGGTTCAAGGAGGAAAAAAGAGGTCTAAATTGAAACAGTATTGGTTATTGCGTTATATGAGTAGTAATCACCCCTGTTCCTTAAGAAAGATAAAATGCTGTATAATTGTCTTTCAATCCCAATCAAAACTTATTTCAGATTCTGTGGTTGCACCCCAAATTTGTAGTCAGCTGCCTGTTTAGCATTCTCTGCTTTATGTTGATTACACGTTGCTTGCATTCTCATGCTGGCTTGAACTCTGCCAATGTTGAATTTTCTGGAAAAGATTCTATACAGTGGTACTAGGACAGTTTTACTTACGAACTGATATATTCACTTGTAGCTCCATACCTCTATGCTGCTAACCAAATATTTTACTTCATTTTTTCTGAGGCTCAAATGCATTAGCTATCAGCTTTTATTTATGAGTTTCTTACTGAGAACCTTTATCTATCCTGGTTGTATTACGCCAATAATGATGTTAGATCTTTTTTGACAAGGGCTGTTGATTTGCTTTGATCCGAATGCTTATTTGCATTAAATCTATGGTTGGATTGAAAATACTAGTTTCTTTTTATGGGTCTGGGTGAAGTAATCAGCCTTCCAAGAATTAAGAGTAGAAGCGTAACAGAAATTAGATAAAGATTGGAATAGGAATGACATCCCAACTTCATATTCAATTCAAGTGAAGAGATACTTTTTAATCTTGCCTTATTCAAATTAGAATAAAAATCTATCACTATAGAATTCACTATAGAAGTGAAATTACTTTGATTTTGAAAATTGCAACTTTCCCTTGAAATTAGTGCAAAGATATTCTGAACTTGGATGAGCCATTCCTTGCGGAGAATTTTTGTTTACTTGGCTATATCTTATAGAGATAATGCAACCAAACAACTTGTGGCAGTTCAATCTTTATGAACCAAACTCTGAAAAGAGCTAGTGTGGTTACCTCACAGTGACCGACAAACGTTAAATTGTTTTCTTATTTATAAGTTAGTGTCAAAAATACATCCAACAGCATAAGTGTAGTGATTATTAGTATTATATTAGTGGATGAATTTGATAAAGTATAGAGTCTAGATTTCTGTCAAATCTTTGATTGCTTATATAAATGACTAATCGTGTTGAGTTGTATAGGAGTGGAAAAGGGTTCGAAAGACCCGAAGCAAGAGAAAGTAGGAAAAGTAACCATCGAGCAACTACGGGCAGTCGCAACAGAAAAGCTGCCTGATTTGAATTGCACCACGATTGAATCAGCAATGAGGATTATAGCCGGCACAGCAGCGAATATGGGGATTGATGTTGACCCTCCTGTTCTTGAACCCAAAAAGAAGGAAATTTTGTAGAGTCAGTACAACTCTTGTTAGATATGGTCATTGCTTAGTATCCCAGATGTTGTAATACATGTATACAACCCATTTTGGTTTAGTCCGTGACAGATGAAATTGCAGACATTCTTTCTCAAAATCAGTAAAACTAATCAAGAAATATAGTTTTTGAATGCTAAATAAATAAATAACACCAATGGCCAATTGTAATGATGGGCTTAAACACCCTCTCTTCAAATTACAGGGACGTAATAATTACGTCAGCGATCAATCCCTTGATTGTGCGTAAAGAGTTAGAAAATGTTTCTACCGCACAATGATTGATGGGATTACGGAAGCCATTTTGTTTTCTTAATTCTTCAGTTTTTTGATTTGCCAACGCTATTAATATAAACTGTATTAGATTCTCAGTTTGTCCTACCTTCAAAATATACAAGAATTTATATATTTATATCAAAATAATATAAATGTTATTTTGCATATATATAAAAAAAAATTGGAAATTACATGATGAATAAAATAAATAATTTAAAAAATACGTAAGTGTATAATTTCAAAATTGTAATAAACTAAAAGTTTTAATAGGTAATTATTACTATTATCAATTTAATTTATATTTTTATCTGTTATACGTAAATTATTAATTTAATTAAAAAATTAACAGATAATCACGACACTTTTAAGTAGCACAATTGGTTAAAATTTCTTTAACTAAAAGAAGTTAAAATTTCTTTTATCAATAAATTAAATTACAAAGTAATTTAAAATAAATTTCTACTATAAGAACACAACTTTAGAAAATCAGTCGTGATTATATAAAAATAATATTTTATACGAACAAAAACTCAGTCGTTACAAATACTAATAAATATTTAAGTTTTTGAGAGTGGAGTTTGGTCGCAGCAACCCATTATTTTCTGTAACCAATAAAATGATGCCACGTAAATGTTGGTTTTGGAATAATTAAGAAATTGACATTTTTTTTAGTGGAACAATAAGACAAAATTAATTAAACACGTCTTAGCCACATTCTTCACAATGATGGCTTTAGGTAAGATGAGCAGTTGGGGCCCACTTGTATCTCTATATATACATATATATATATATATATGGGAAATCCGTTTTATTTTTTTAACTATAGGTTTTTATATAAAATAAATTAATATTTTAAGTTTAATAATCAATAAAATAATTGAAGATATTTTTTTAAATAACACAAAAATTATAAATAATTCACTATCTGAATTCTTTTATAAAATTAGTGAATATCGTTTAGTTATTTATTTTTTAAAAATAAATATTTTTATAATTTTATTAAATATTTTAAATTATTATATAAAAAATATACATATTAAATTTCAGAACTCTTTGAGTTTTTTTTTTTGTTTTAAAGAAAAGAGGTATTAAACAACGTTCATCAAACACAAGCAGAAAAGTAGAGGCAGGCACATCATTTCATTAATTGACTCAATATAGTTCATAAAATTTTCGGACTGTAAATAAAATAATATATATTTTATACATACTGCATTATAAAATATTTTAATATATTTATTTTTAAACACTTTCTTACAAACATGAAATTTTCTAATTTACAGTGCATATACATATACATATATATATATATACATAATTTTTGAGAAGATACATAGCAGTTTCAAAATTTACCAGTGTGGATGAAACAAAAATTTTCGTCAGTTCAAGTCACGAGATTTATCTCTTTCTTGTTCATGCAGATTATCAGGTAACTCATTAAAAGTCATTTCACTGACACCATTTTTGTATTCTTTCTTTCTTTGTTTTTTTTTTTTTTTTATTATTATATTATTTTAAATAATCAATATTACGTGTAGTTTTAAAAACTAATTTTATATAATTTTTTAAAAATATATTCAAACTAACCAAAAATAATTATGTTTATTATTTGATACATATATATATATTTTTAAAAAATATAATAAAACATATAAAATTTAATTCGAATATTGAAAAACAGTAGAGACACTAATTTAAATAATTAGGCCTCTTAAATTTTTTTTTTTTTTTTTTTTTTGTAGTCAGAAAATATTTTAAGCAATTTTTACTATTAAAAAATCCAAACAATTAGTTATTGTTATTATAATATTTTGTATGTAAACATATATTCTCCAAATTACCATATTCAATGAAACTTTATTATAAATAAATATACCTTATTAATTAAATTATTAATGCTACCTAATGATAAACTTTCAGGTTCTTCGTACGTGGGTTATTAGATTGGATGTCTTTTTTCTTTTAATAGTAAAATAAATATAAAATATTGCTTATAATAATACTTGACGCCTTTTAAGTAAAATAATTAAAATTTATAATTGGTAAAATAATTAAACAAAAATCTTCCTGACTAGTTTAATTTTTTAATATAATTAAAAATATAATGTAAAATTAGTCTAATAATGTAATTAAATTATGGTGGAATTAGGATCTGCCTCGCTTTCCGGAAGGGTAGAATTGTCAAAATGCAACTCTCCACAAACGATAAACAAATTTACTGCCAAACAGATTCACCATCCCCATCTCTACAAAAACCCTAGAGAGGGAGACGGAGGAGGAGAGGAATGAAGAAAGAGATGATAAGATGAGAGCGAGATGACATATATGTAACACTGCAATGTCTTTGTATTATAATAAAACACCATATCTAACCTACATTCTCTTTGTTCCTTAAATAAATATTTCTTAACCATCTGCTCAAGAAAAAAAAAAAAACGTCTTAATCAACTTTATTGTGACAGAGAGACATAGAGACACAGATTCTGCAACTTGAGGAGAACTTTCAATTGCTCAAAGGTGAATTTTCTTTTCTCTCATTGTTCGACCTTATTTCTTCTTTATTGGAATAGGATCTATGTTGGCCTTTTTAGTTGAACTCCGTATATGCCCTCTGGATAAAAATGGTGTTGTTTTCTTTCAATTGCTTTTTGTGTTTTTCTTCTTGCTTCTCCTCTGAAACGGCGAGATGGCTTCAATGTCTCTCGCGTTTTATGACCCAGCCAGTTGATGATTTCTGGAGTTCTCTGCAACTACTCAATTCTTCTATTTAATGCTTACTGGCGTTGAGAGGTTGAAACAACCTGTTGATTTGCTTTGATTTCGTTTTATGTGCAGTGATTATAATGGTTTTCTTTTCTTTCTTTCGTCAAGCAAGAGGGTTCAATTAATTGTACAGTCAAGTTTACCTAACAATTCTCTGTTTGTTTTCGTAATTATACAGTCAAGTGTAGTTATTGCAGGTCAAGCCGACAAGGATATAGAAATTAAGTTAAGAGGATGAGTTTGGTTTATAAGCCAAGTAACAGCCATGGATCCCATTTGGCCAGTTGGATTATTTATTTCTTGTAAACTTGCTCGGCTTCCTGCCTGCCTGCATGCCTGCTTAGTGGCCTTTAGTAAATGAGAACATCTGCTCTCTCGGTTTAGTTGTGCTCAAGTTCAAATCCTTCCATTTTTATTTTTGAAAGAGAAAAAAAAAAAAGCTAATAAGAATCAGAACTGTGGTAGGAATCAGGAGTAATTCTACCTCAGGTGGGCGAGTATCAATATCTCATGAATGATAAATGCCATTGGTATTGTGCTATTTCTTTTCCAACGAGTGGGGATTAGTCTTGCAGGGTCTCTCCTTTCAACATTTCATCTCAAAATCTGTAAATCACCACGGAATTGGATTTTTTTTTTCCTAATACTTTGGGGTCAGGTGATATTGATTTTCTGTTTCTAATTTGTGGGGAGAAGATTGTCGAATGATAGCATATAATTGATCGGATTGTTGGAACATAGAGCTATTTCTTAATTTTTGAATTAAGAAAAATTAAATTACGATGAAGGGCACTTTTGAAGTGACCAGAGCCAGTCTATTCAGTTAGATCCCTCTCTGGCTAACCTATCTTCCTCTCTCCATTGGGACCAGCAAGAAGTAATATTGAATATTCACCTATTGTCCACCAACTAGCCTTTTGGCCTGGTCCTAAACCCTGACCCAGCCTCTGTGGAAGAACCTTGTGGAGGAATTCTTGGGTTTTCAGAGCATTGAACCTTCAACAATGTTTGCATTGCTCAAATAGACATTCTCAAGATGCATCATTATTCAATGCAAATTGTTCAGAAAGCTTTTCTTAATGGCCTATGCTGTTGTGATTGTTTAGCGCAATCAATTCTTAGGTGTAACATATAAGAAATATTACTTGAGATTTCTGGGCTGAATCCCTAAGTGGTAAAATCATCCTAATTTTTAATCGTAATTATTCACTTTCATGTTTCTTAATGGCATTGATTTTCAGATGGAAGTGCAGAGTTCTGAACACGGGCATATCATTGAGATTTATGGAGATGTGGCTGCTGGAGAGACAAGCTTGACTGGGAGTAAGGTTTGTGGGGGAGCACCATGTGGGTTTTCAGATGCCAAAGCCAGTTCTAAAGATGCAAAGGAACGGTCAGCATCCATGAGGAAACTTTTGATGGCAGTTGTGCTGTGTGTCATCTTCATGAGTGTAGAAGTTGTGGGAGGAATTAAAGCCAACAGCCTTGCAATTCTGACGGATGCAGCTCATCTATTGTCTGATGTTGCAGCATTTGCAATTTCCTTATTCTCACTCTGGGCTTCGGGATGGGAAGCAACTCCTCGCCAGTCATATGGTTTCTTCAGAATTGAGATACTCGGTGCCCTTGTTTCCATCCAGATGATATGGCTTCTTGCTGGGATCCTTGTTTATGAGGCCATTGCTAGACTCATTCATGATACTGGTGAAGTTCAGGGATTTCTTATGTTTGTGGTATCTGCATTTGGTTTAGTGGTGAACATAGCCATGGCTATTCTATTGGGTCATGATCATGGTCATGGACATGGACATGATCATGGCCATGGCCATGGACATGTGCGTGTGCACGGACATGGTGGGGATGGACATGTCCACAGTGATCGTATCCACGAGGATCATGATAAGGCTCATAACCAGGGAATAACTGTAACTACACATCATCATCATCATAGAGGGGGTCTGGAATTTGGAAATGAGCACCACCATAGTGATGAAACAGATGCTACCAAACCTCTACTTTCAACATGCTCTCAATCAGAAAATAAATCTAACGGTGAATTGAAAGAAAAGAAGCAATGGAACATCAACGTACAAGGAGCTTATCTTCATGTGCTTGGAGATTCCATCCAGAGTGTTGGGGTGATGATTGGCGGGGCAATTATATGGTACAAGCCTGAGTGGAAGATAATTGATTTGATATGCACCCTGATATTTTCTGTTATTGTGCTGGGGACAACCATAAGAATGTTGAGGAGCATTTTAGAGGTTCTAATGGAGAGTACTCCTCGAGAGATAGATGCCACAATGCTCGAGAAGGGTCTATGCGAGATGGATGAGGTTGTTGCTGTTCACGAGTTACATATTTGGGCCATTACGGTTGGGAAGATATTGTTGGCTTGTCATGTTAGAATAAAGCCTGAAGCTGATGCTGACATGGTACTAGACAAGGTTATAGACTTCATTAAGAGAGAATATAATATCAGTCATGTGACTATTCAGATAGAGCGCTAGTAGATCTGATAGAGGTTATTGAGCAGTGCATTCTGTATTTGGGAGGCGGGATTTAGTTTTTCTTATGAATTCTTTTCAGAAGCTAGAGCTTGGGTAAGTTCATATTTTCCTTAAATGGAACTGGTTGATGTAAATGGCTTTTTGGCTCAATGTATCCTTCTCTATATGCTTGCTTATATCCAATATGTTAGACATCTTTTGATTAACCGGGCGGGTGCATTAGAAGTATCCAATTGGGAGACTCCAGCCTCTGGCTTCGGACTTCTGGCGGATTTTGTTTAAATATTGTCTTCTCGTCGGTGATTGGTCATCTTTGCATTAGCATATTTATGTGGTAACTCGATGCAACTGTAGCAGAATTTAACTTTTCAATTTGGCAAGCTTGATGAAAATTGCCTCCCCTGCAACTTTTTCTTGGTAAAAGAAAGAGTTGGAAGTGAAGATGCACGACATATAGATATAGTATTCATGTAGGCATTATGAATTTAGAAGTCGAAAACCATCACGGCTTTGACTTGAAATGTGAAACGATTAGTTTGTGACTTATTGACGGCTAGCTATACATCAAGATATATGTATCTTCTTCAAAAGCGGCTTTGTCTCGGTTAGTGACAAAGATTGGGCGGCTGTGAAATGTAATCAGAACCACATTCTTCTTTGTTCATCCTCAAAATTCTCATTTTTTTCTCTTTTAGATTCTTCAATCCCTTGGACTAGATGTTGGAAGAACATCATAAGGGTCCTGACTAGAAAAGTTATCTCCATCTTTTTGGCGGTGTAGTGCATTTTTCTTTATGTTATTTTGAAAATTTTTAATTTGGGTAATTAAGTATTACTATAGATTTTAACTTTAATTTTGATAATTGGGTAATTAAGTATTAGCTTAATTAAAAAAAAAAATGGGTTAGTTTTATTATTTGGTATTCAAATTCCGCAAGCTTTATCTTTGTTAAAATTTAATATTACACGAGGTATAATAAAAAAAATTGATTGATACCAACATATATATTAGAACAAACCTGTATATATATATATATATATATATATATATTAAAAAAAGTAGTTCAATTATTTTATTTATCCAATAGTGCGCATTAAGTCTGTTCCTTTTTTGTTATTTTATAATAATTTATTTATTTATTTTCCAAAAAAGAATGAATCTTTTAAATAATATGAGGGAATCCTATATTATCATCTTAAAAAATATCAAGTAAATATTGTTTGTCCCGTAGTTTATAGTTCTTTTTAAGTATAACATGTTAAATAAATTTACATATTTTAAATTACTTATGATATAAGAAATCGATAAAAATTGAATCTCATTTATGAGAATTCTATTGTGGGGAGACAATAAATTCATGACTATTTTCTACTGTAATTTATTTATTTAAAAATTAATTAATTAACTGAAAATTAGAATTTAAATTATTAACAATTTTTCTTCTCATTTCATTTCAGTTTATTCTTATGTTTCTCTCTTTAATTTCTGATATAACAAAATATATAAAATTTACATGTAATAAAATTCGAAACATGATTACTCAATATGATCATGTAGTCTATGACTATTATTATAAAGACTCAAAATTTTAAAGAAATGAATATATATTGTAATGGCGGAAGCGATTAAGAATTTATGGTTTATATTTTTTACACAGTAAATCAATATGTTAAATAAGACTAAGAAAATGTACCTTTAGGGAGTTCAAATAACGAAAATAAAAAAAATATATAACTAAAAATCTTATGGAGTTAATCTCCACTAGACGACTCTGATGCGATGCAGGAGACAACTTTTACTCACAACCTTCTTATTGTTCAGGATCTGAATATTAATTTTCCTAATATGAAATTGTTAAATAAGGGGGTGATGTATACTAATCAAATAAGAATATCAACGCTTAACACCGATACGGAAAACTAAAGATTCGTAAAAAATTATAAAACAACAAATGGAGTCATTATTTTATTTTAATAAATTCATTTAATATAAAAATATTATTTTCATATTCACTTTTATGAGTTTCTAAAACTGATATATGAAAATAATAATCAAGATAACACTTTATTACACATATAAATGAACAATAACTGTAAACTCACCTTCTTAACCACTTACTAGTACCTTTGGGGGTCCATAGGGGTTCCCCCTATGCGTGGACCAAATATCTAATTTCTTAATTAACCGACTGTCTCCATACTCTGTTCGGTAATGAGCGCTAAATATACCACCACCTCAATACCCTATTCAGTATGAGGGTGAATCAATACTTCCCAACCCCTTTCGGTATGAAACTTCTCAACCTTATTCAACTGAGATAATGTCCACGGTAGGATTTGCCCTACGTACTAGGTTCGTGTACACTATTTTTCATGATACCCGGTAAGCTCTTTTCTTATACACATATTTACATCATCAACCAACCACCAATTACACACAAACATTTAATATTTGCAGATATATGAAACGTCATTTAAACAAATAATACAAACTGGCACTATAACAATTAAAAAAAATATGATTAAGGCCTTTATTTCAATCAATCAACAATGAGAAAAATAGTTAAGCAATTATTAACGGGTGGACAGATAAATTTCAAAATAAAAGTGCACACGACAAACAAACAAATACATCATACTAATAGATAAACACTAAAGATAAAATAAATAATTTGTACTTACCGATTACTGACTCTACTGATGACCTGTATTTAATTAATTAGGTATTTTTAATATTTACAAATTACACCATTATTAATTATTAAACTTTAATTTACCGTAACAAAAAAAGGTGAGAGATTGTTACCCTAGGTCGGTGTTCGAGACACTGTCCTTTTCACTGCATTTTCTAACAGTTCTCGAGTTTTTTAAATTTTTTTTACGAAAATTAAAAACATGCGTTATGTATTCCAAAATACCCCAAAAAGGCCAGAATGAGCATTTTTAGATTTTTCCAATCGGTTTATGGTTCCGGCACGGCTCTGCCACCACCCACGACAGCGTCTCCTCTCGGCCTAGTGGTTTTCGACTGATTTTGGCCAATTCAGGCCGGCTTTGCATGAAAACAAGCAAAAAGAGGGTTAGGCAGCCTCTATCAGCCAGAAAAGGGGAAAATCGAGGCCTCACTAATGGAGGAATTTTTTGTTGTGGCAGATTCGTTATTCCTCCCTCGCAATCGAGGCTTCTCTTCGGCTAACCTGCATCAGAAAGAGATGAGGAATACAAAGGTCAAAGAATAAAATAAAACAGAAAATAGGAAAGGGCTCGGGGGGGGGGGGGGGGGGGGGGTTATTGGGTCATGATTGCGACAGCTCGACCGAGCTTTGTTCATGATTTTTGGCTTACCATATGGCCTTTTGGCTTCGATATGGGTGTAGTGAGGTTTGAAATTCAATTTCGAATGGAAGGGGGGAAAATTTTTACCTTTCTGGCGTTGACGGTGGCTCTGGTGCGGTGGCAACGGTGGTCAATTTCTTTCCAATCACCTTTTTTCTTCTTCTTCGATGAGGACTGGTATGGCTAGCGTTAGGGTTTTCTAGAATATGAAGTTTAAATATCCTCCCCGAGTCGATCTGGGTCATCCGTGTAGGGACACGTGGCCTTCTCCCATCTGTTGGATCTCGCTTATTCGGAGAATAAATATGGACCGCACAATTGGATCGAATTTGACAGTTCAATCGAGCTTGAAGAGGAAATAGATCTAGGTCGTCCGTGCGTGCGGGAGGGGATCTGGGCTGTTGGATCTATTGGCACGTGGATCGCTCGCGTGGTTTCCCGCATGGATGTGTGCCCACGTGTCGGCCACACGGCGCACAGAGATCGGCTGCGCTGCTGACGTAGCGGTCCACCCGGCCAAATTTTCATAAATTTCATTCTTACCCTAGTTTTATAGATTTTGTTTTTCAAATAAATCATCCCTTATTTCTATTTTGGCCTTAATTTTCGAAAATATTTTCAAATGCATCGAAAACCCAATTTTCTTCAAAAATTGACAAAAAAAATAAATTATTTTAATTTATTCTTCTATCAATATTAAACTATCCCGAGCTAAATTTTCGGGCCCGGTTGTTACAACTCCCCCATTAAGAAAAAAATTAGTGTCTCAAATCTGCTCCTCTCTCACTAGTCAAACAATTAGGGGTAATGAGCCATAAAATCTGATTCTAGCTCCCAAGTGGTCTCGTCCTTTGAGTGATTCTAACATAAGACCTTGATGAAGAGAATTTCTCTATTGCGAAACACTCTGCTCTTTCAGTCCAAAATAACTACCGGTACTTCATCATATGATAGATCCTCATGGAGTGGAAGTGACTCATACGACAAGACATATAAGAGTTGTGTGTTGTACTCGCGTATCATAGATACATGGAATATATTATGGACCCTAGATAGCTCTAGAGGTAGTGTTAATTTTTAAGCGGATGTACCAATCTTGTCCAAGATCTCAAAAGGTCCGATGAACTGGGGGTTTAACTTTCCCCTTTTTCTAAACCTGCTAATACCCTTAAAGAGGGTGACCTTAATGAACACTCGATCACCATTCTCAAATTTTAAATCTCTCATTCAGGTGTCTGCATAACTTTTCTATTTACTCTGGGTTGTCTAGATGTTCTTCTTGATTTTAATTATCTTCGTTATGGTCTCATCTACAATATTTGGGCCAATAAATTTTTTTTCACTCACTTTTTTCCAACAGATTGATGATCTACATTGTCGATCGTACAACGCCTCATATGTACTAGTGTTGATATTTGCTTGATAATCGTTATTATAGGCGAACTCTATCAGCGGTAAGTGATTATCCCAATGTTCTCCAAAATCTAGAACACAAGCCTTGAGCATATCCTCAAGTGTATGAATGGGTCGTTATGATTGTCCGTCTATTTGAGGGTGGAATGTTATACTAAATGATAGTTTTATTCCTATTATTTACTGAAAACTTGACCGAAACTGAGAGGTGAGTCTGGGATCTCTATTTGATACTACTGTGACTGAAACTCCATGTAGTCTGACTATCTCCTGGACATAGATTCTTACTACCTTGTCTAGGGGGTCGGTCATTCTAATAGCCAAAATGTGAGAGGACTTGGTGAGTCGGTCAACAATTACTCAGATTGCATTATGCCACGAACGTACCTTAAGCAACCCTGTTACAAAATCTATAGTTATATGTTCTTATTTTCACTACAAAATT